AAGACAAGTATTAAGCAAAAATTTAAACTACTTGAAATCTACACACTTAACTCTTGTGCAAAAAAATTGTTTTGTAAGAAATGTATAAGAGGGCTTAGTGATTTTTACTTGACAAGGCTTGATTTTTAAGTGATTCCTTGTAGTCCACCTCCCTTGATAGTCCAATTTGTACACTTAGGCCTTTTTACACCAATCTTGCACCCTTAAAACTTTTTGTGAAAACTTTTTCATCACTCACTCTTTGTGAAAACCTTTTGAACTCTATTTTTGAAAACCTTTTCTTAATCAAAGATGAGTGATCATTCTAGTGTACATGGTCATAATTCATATAGTAGTAGACCTAGTGTTAGAGATGAGCTTAGAGAGTTAAAAGAGTATTTGAGAAAAAAAAGGAGGAAATATATAAAAAGAGAGGAAGAGTTGAGAAAAAGAGAAAAAGAAAATACAAAGAATAATGAAGAAATAAGACAATTACTTGCAAAATTAGTTGAAGGGAGAGAAACTAGTAGATCCAAACCTAGGGTTGTTCCAACTAGGTCTCAAATAGGCAAAGGGGTTAGAATCCCTAAGAGTGTGCATGAGGGAGAAAATACAAAAAGAGAGGAAGAACTTAGACGAAAGGAAAAAGAAAAGAAAATACAAATAAAGAAAGAAAACAAGAAGAAAAGTATAGAGAGAGTTGAAGAGTGGTTAGAAAAAGAAAAACAAACAATACTCTTAGAGAAGAGTAAAGAGGGTAATATTTCTTCCAAAGGGCTTATGCTTAAAGAATGTCACTTTACCATTGAAAATGATTTGAAAAAGACTATCTTTATTCATCAAGACCTTAACACTTTCTCTCATGTTACCACTAGTCATGAAGTAGAGATTCAAAAACAAATATTTTCTAAAGAAAAAGAATCTCAACTTTAAGAATTAGTGAAGAAGAATGGGACTTCACTTAGTCCCACTTCTTGTGCTATCTTGTTGCTGGACATTGCACATTAAAAACCTTAAGAAAACACTCAAAACTTGTCTCTTTAAGCCATTATAAGTTGCTAAGAGGATACTCCAAGGACTTGCTCATCAAACTAACAAGACACAAGTGTAAAACCCAAGCAAAGGAGAACTATAAAATTGAAAGAAAAAAAAAGAATTGGCTGGACTTTTGGACCTTAAAAACCATGACCTAGTCAAGTATCAAAAGGAACAAAATAAACAAAAAAATAAAAAAGAATCAAAGACAAAAGGAAAAAGGGAACCTTTGCTAGACTTGTGGAGTTTTGGACCAAATTTTTCATACCTTGGCACTTGGAGTTATTCTTGGACTTTTGGACAATGCTTATTGACCTTATGAGACATTTAATCAAACACCTTAAGTGCATCACTTTCTTTTAAGCCTACTTGTTGAATTTTATTCTAGTGCCATTCTAGGACTTATTCTTTTGTGTGCTTGCCTTTCTTAATGTGCTTTAATTTTAGTTTTGTGTCATCTTTCTACTCGTAAGTTTGTCTCATCAATTCAATTTGAGTTTAGCCTTTTCTTAATTGTGCCTTTTTAGTTTTTCTTCCTTGGCCTCTTGTACTCTTGGGTTTTGGTTTCTTCTTGACCTAGGTGAGGAAAGCTTCTAAACACCACACACTTTCTTGGTGGATTGAGTGGAGGGGCTGTCCGATTTGAGTTCAAGGAGCTTTGGAGGATCACACCAAATCAAAGAGTGCAAACACCATTGAAAGGCTAACCTTGGGTGTTCATTGTGAAGGGGTGGAGAATTGAAGACTTGAAATTGTTTCTTTTTCCAATTTTTTTCCTTTTGTTCAATTTTTGGCCTCTTGTGTTTTGGCCTTTGTTTTCATTCATCTTGGTTTTTAATTGGCCATTTTTAAACCTCTTCATTTTAGGGTAACTGGAAGTAGTGCTTGTGGGAGTGGCTTGAATATCAGCAAGGTCACTTCAAGCTCCCACCCTAGGGAATCCGGCTAGCACATAATCTTTGCATAAATTATAGCTTTGGTAGTATAATTGCTTAGGTTTTCTTTATCCTATTTGGTCATTTTAGAAGGCTACAAGTTTGCCTACTAGGGGGCCGTGCACAAACACACTTAACTCTTGTGCAAAAAAATTGTTTTGTAAGAAATGTATAAGAGGGCTTAGTGATTTTTACTTGACAAGGCTTGATTTTTAAGTGATTCCTTGTAGTCCACCTCCCTTGATAGTCCAATTTGTACACTTAGGCCTTTTTACACCAATCTTGCACCCTTAAAACTTTTTGTGAAAACTTTTTCATCACTCACTCTTTGTGAAAACCTTTTGAACTCTATTTTTGAAAACCTTTTCTTAATCAAAGATGAGTGATCATTCTAGTGTACATGGTCATAATTCATATAGTAGTAGACCTAGTGTTAGAGATGAGCTTAGAGAGTTAAAAGAGTATTTGAGAAAAAAAAGGAGGAAATATATAAAAAGAGAGGAAGAGTTGAGAAAAAGAGAAAAAGAAAATACAAAGAATAATGAAGAAATAAGACAATTACTTGCAAAATTAGTTTAAGGGAGCTGGTCATGAACCTGCTTATTAAACTCACATCATACATCAAGTCAGGCCTAGTAACAATTAAATACATGAGACTTCCAACCAGTTGTTTAAATAGAGTTTCATCAGCTCTCATTCCTCCTTTATCTTTAGACAGCTTTTTTCCTGACATTATTGGATTCTTCATAGCATTGTTATCCTGCATTCCAAATCTTGTTAACACTTTTTAGGCATACCTCTTTTGGCAGATGAAAATTCCATTCGAACATTGTCTGACTTCAATTCCATGAAAATGATTCATCTTTCTCAGATCGGACATATCAAAATCCAACATCATTAAATTTTTAAATCTATCACACATGGTTCTATCATTCCTGATAAATATTACATCATCAACATAAAGACTGACTATTAATATTTTACCTCCCTATGACTTTGTGAACAATGTGTGCTCACTGGGACACCTTTCAAAGTCTTCTCGTGCAAAATAGGCTTCAATTCTATTGTACCAGGCTCGTGGCGCTTGTTTAAGGCCATATAATGCCTTCCTTAATCGATAAACTTTCTCTTTTTCCCCTTTTTTTATAAATCCCTCAGGCTGTTGTACAAACACTTCTTCCTTAAGTACCCCGTGAAGAAAATCACTCTTCACATCAAGTTGAAAAACCTCCCAACTGAATTGGGCAGCCGTGGCCAGTATCACACGAATAGTATCAAGTCTTGCCATTGGAGCAAAGACTTCAGTGTAATCAATTCCATGACGTTGTGCATACCCTTTTGCTACTAGCCTTGCTTTGTATTTCTCCACTTGCCCATCTACATTCAGTTTTATTTTAAACATGGCATCATCAAAACTTTGTGCATATTTTCTTCCACAGATAAGGTGTAACACTTAATAAAATAAGATAGTTAGAGTCTACGTCCAACACCTAATGCTTATGAAAAACCTCTATATCTTATAGGTGTTCATAAGTCCAATGCTTGTAAAACACTTTAATGCCTTTAAATGACATATTCAGATGTTTGAAAACATATTTTGATAAGCATTCTAATAATCTATGAATGTCATAAATCCTATATTACTTTGTTTCATCTTTTGTGTATGTGTGCAAAATGCCATAGTGAGTCTTAACCAAACTATCATATCCAAAAAAGGAAAGTGAACCACAAAGAGAATTATCAGAGCAGAAAACAACAAGTTCAAAATCAAGACTCTCTGTTTCATTCACTTTCAAGCCTAAGCACTAATGAAGCTTTGAAGTATATGAACAAGTGTGAAGAACAACCATATTGAAGAATTGAATAAAATATTATAAAAATGCAAAATGTTTTAACTTTATCCTTCAGGCATTTGGACAAGTAAGTTTTTTCTTCTAACTTATAACGGCCGATTTGCAGAAAAAAACCTTTAACCCCCCCCCCCCCCAACCCCACACATTTAACCCCATTTTTTGTGTGTTTATTTCAACTTCACCCACTTCATTATCTTCATCAACCTATTAAAAATAAGAACAATTCTCTTCACCATGTTGCATAAATAAAACCTATAATTTATTAAATTACAACATTCAAAGATAAATAATCAAATAGCAAATTATTTATGTATCGTGGCGATGGGCAATAATAATCGAATAATCTCTCATGGTACGTAGTTCTATGTCCTTGTCATTCAAATCAAAACTCTTCTTCCACAATAACAAAGATAAGCACGAGCACCAGTAAATCTTGTGCTTCCACTTGCAGAGATGACACTTGATATATGGTTGATGACTGACACTTTGAAAATAAATAAGAAAATTAATTAAGAAGAGAAAATAAGATCAATAATATAACATCATCTATGGTTAGTAAAAAAAAAAAAAAAGCATCTGTGGTTAGTAAAAAAAACAAGAAGAAGGGAGATGAGTTGTGATAAGAGAGAAATTTAATGATGGTATTTAATATTGGAGGAGTTGAAGGTGAATTAGCTCATACAACTCTCTTCAACTGTCATTTAGATCCCTATTATTTTTTTATCCATTTTTTTATTGTCATTTCATGCATCTTTTAAAAGTTTGACCATAATTTTTCCATTTTGATCCATGTTAAGTTGGCAATAATGGTTCTACACCTAAGTAGCATGCCGTATCACTGATTACGTGATACATAACGTGCCAACTAATCACTTAATAGAAGGAGGTAATGGCTTCGTCAAGTTAAGGACCAATTTATGAGACATAAATCAAAGTTAAAGGTTTATTTTTCAATTTTTTTAACTCAAGGACAATGTTACAATCCCAAAAAGTCAAAGACAAATGATATTTTACTCAATTAAAAAGTATTATTACATTAAAAACAAAAATAAAGTCAAATTTTCAATGCAGAAAAAAGGTTAGTTTCATGATTTGTGAAAAAGAAAAAATAACTGGGAAAATAACGTTATTCAATAGTTAGAATTATAAGATAATTAAGAGCTAGCTGAAAATTTAAAATAAATCCCAAAAAAGTGCATATAAAAATAAAGTGGAAAAGCACAGTTCTGGTATAACTTTCGTGATAAAGCTAAACGATATGTACAAAAGCGAGATGACAGTAAAAAAAAACAAAAAACAAAAAAAACCCAAAAAACAAGAAAAAAAACACAAAAAGAAAAAAAGAAAAAGCCCTTGAATTCTTCTCTGCGACCTTGCATTCACCAAGAAACCAGTGAATTGTCCCCTCTTTTGATTACCCAAGAACAAGAACACACATGATAAGTACAAGAGCTTAAAAAAGCTCTTCCTTCTTGTTATACCACCATCTCCAACTGCAACATAAAGCAGACAAAAAGCATCAGCTGGCAGTCAAAAGATTTGGTCATCTTCGTATGCCTTTCACATGTAGAAGCTGGAACATTATCACTCACATTTTTAACAAATAATATAATTAGAGTTAATCACTTATACACTGCCAGTGTAAAACTTTTTTACACTGGCAACCAATCATATCTTTTAATAATATCATATCAGTTGCTTATTTAATGAAATAATAATAAAATAAGTCACTTTAAAATATATAATTAATTATCAGTATAAAAAACTTTACATCGGTAGTGTATGGATAATTAACTCATATAATTAAAGCATGCTTCTACTAACTTTTTTTCTTTTTTATGCAAACTTCGACCAACTTTGTTCCAAAAGCAATTAATACCCTTAGAAATAAATTCAAAATCATTAGAGATGCTGCACTTTGATTCTTTAAAGTATTGTGAAATCTTTTGACCATCAAAACAGATATATAAAGATTTTTTTAATGAAAAATTCTAACAGATTTTCTAACACTCGTTTTAACAATATTCTTTTCTAACTGAAATTCATGAGACTTGGATATGAAATCTACCTAACAAGGATAATTATGTTGACCACAAATACAAATTCTTATGTTGATTACTAGATAAATAGTGAAAAATAAAATGTAAGTTTTATCCAATAGAATATTTTGAGAGACTACTCCTACTATCCCATAATAAATATAGTGTAAAAAAATCCTAAAATAAGTGTTATTTTAGTTACAAAGTAGTATTATTTATCTCTTTTGTATTTATAACATTAATAGCATTCTTCATAAAATTATTGTTGTGTTGTAACCTTTTTAATAAATAAGATTAATTTCTTAAAATTACTTTTTTTTATGTATATATTAATTTCTTTAGTTTGTACAAAAAGAAACTTAAGACCATACTTGTTATAAGACAGAAGGAGTAATTATTTAATGTGTCTTATCCAAGTTTTATGTTGCAATAACAAAGTTAAAAACGAAATGTTAGATGTACTCACCAATAATAATCCCATCTAGGTTTAACTTTGGTCATGCGGTTTTGGCCGTGTGGATAGTCAGTGAGAGCTCTTCTTGCATTTCTGAAAGCGCAACAGCCAATGGAGTAAATGGCAATGAGAAACACAAGCACGACAACGTTAAGAACAGAGATGTTGTGCCACTCCCTTCTGATGTTTTCGAGTACACCAGCCTTGCATGAGTCGCAATCGTAGCAAAGAAGAGTGGGGGCATTGTTCCAACGGTAGCAATCCGGATCTTGGCTCACTATCACTGTTTCTGTGTTGTAACTGCATGCTGTTGGTGGCTTACAACATCCTGACTGCATCATGAGTAATTTTTTTGTAGAGTTGATTTGTATTTATGTAATCAAATATTAAATAATTTTTAATTTTTGCAAAATCTTTGAATTTGATGTATTTAATAAAAGGTTTTGATCTAAAGATTAAATCGGTGAAAATTTAAGGAATGTTTGGTGAGAGAAATTTTTTTCACAAAATTACGTGATTTTTGAAAATCATAATTCTTAAGGATCACACTACTACATTTTAATTTTTTAACGATATTTTCTTTTATACATATATTAAAATATTATTATATATTGAATAAATAGGTTATTTTACAACATTATTTTGAAAAATATCATTATAGATAGATTAATATTTTTATTTTAATATTATTTTTTCGATTGTTTTCATAATCAAAGTCTCATATCTAGTAAAAAAATGTCATATAGGTTATTTTGTAATATTTATTTTTAAATGCTACTATAGATAAATAAAAATTTTTGTCTCAACATTATTCTTTTTAATTATTTCTAAAATTAAAGACTCACATCAAGTAAAAAAAATATTTATCTCATATTTAATTATTATCCATAATTAAAGTCTCATATCGAATAAATGAATGACTCATAAAGAGTATATATAATATAGTTATATTTAAGATAAATGAATTTTGATATTTGATATATAATTAGTGATGACTAATTAAGAATGTCTTCAAGCTTCTCTGCAAGTTAAATAACTTTCTAAGAGACATAAAAATATAATAATTGATATCATTTAATAAATGTTGTCTAATAATATAAAAATGTTATTAAAAATTTTTAGTAACATGAATTATATATAACATTTGATACCTAAACTAAGTGATCATATGTTGAATTTTGGTTCCCAAATTAAAATCTAATTGAAGCATAGGTTTTCGATATTAGCTTTCATGTGATTTGACAAGTTTAAAATACTGACTCAATTAATCTAGGAGAACAATATATATATAAAAGGTCATTAGAGTTAACTTAGTGGTTGGTGGGGAGGAGTTAGGGTAATTAGAAACATGAGGACCTAAGTTCAATCATCATTGCGACCATCTTTATAATTTTTTCTATCTTTATCAAAAAAATATATAACATTTCATAATATATTGTAAAAATAAATTAGAAAAATTTATATACAATTAGGTAATATTTTTCAAATATTATTAAAATCTCTTTATATTTACATTAAATTTGTTTGATTGGTCATAAATGTTTCTAGAATTGTCTATAAATGTTACCTAGAAATAAAATAAGTTTACTGCATTTGCTAAGCAAAATAAGGTAAAATAAATTAATATGATATTTTATCCATAATAAAATATTCTTTTTAACTGAATAATACTATATTCTCACTCTCCTCATACGAATAATTTGGTGGGTATCCTATATATAAAACATTCTTGCAAAAACGAATTTTCTAAGAATCTTACTTTTTAGATGATAAACCAAGTTTAGAAAATTAACATTATCAATACTAGATTCTCATGAAAATATAAATATTTCGTGTATTAAGCATTCTTAATGTATTGAGTTATTGAGTAATAACATGATTATTTATATGTGTATCTTATTTTACTGAATTTGGCATTAATAAATATTCTGATGAGAAACGAAAAAGAAAAAAAACACTCTGACAACGCATTCAAGACAACAAGGTCGATAGATTTGGGAGATGAGTATAATGTGAGAGCTGCTCTTTTAATGTGCCTAATTCATTACTCTACATTTTGATGGAAGTGATAAATATTCGAGGGGGAATCTCTTTTGAGGAGAGAGAGAATGATGGGGGCATATCAACAACTTTAGAATTTAGACTCATTGGACCTTTTAAGTCGTCCAATTACAAGACAATAAAAGTCCAAAAAGTAGACAATAATTGAACTGATTCAGGATTTAGTGTCGGGCAAAGGAAAATAGCGGGAATAATAGATTCTCGTAAATGAGATTTTTATTTGAACTATCTTTAGTGAGAATAGTTATCGATAAAATTTTATTTATTTATCACTAAACCAAATAAAATAAAAAATCTCACTCTACGCTTCATCTATTTCCCTCCAATTTAAATTCTTTCTCTCGCATCTAAGTTCTCAAATCACGAAAGTTCTCTCTACGCAAATATATATATATATATATATATATCTCCCTTCTGATGTTTTC